ATAAGGCTATAAATATCCCTTTTACATTTTAGGATCTATTTTGTTTCAAAACATTCAAGTTTCTTTCAATAAATTTGAGATGAAAAAATATTCTTTCTTTATAATCTTTACCAGATGTTGTTTATACTAAAAGCAACTTTTTTTAGCACTCAATAATACAAATATTGTTTAATTAGTGATAAATCTGCCATTTCTAGGCTTAAAAAAACATAACAAGTACCAAATGTACTTTTGTGTTTTAACTTTACCTGAACTCTCTCAGTGTTAAGACACAGGGATGCTGGTTCTGGATGCTCAGAGAAGCCCCTTGTATCTGAAGCTCTTCTTTCCAGCCTGGCCCATTGATTGGCCTGCCTCAGTTAGCTTGCGCAGCCTGAGCAGAAAGAAAGCTCCTAGGCCCCCCCACCACTTCTCAGCTCAGCCTCTCAGTGACAATGACCTCCCAGGTCGACCACTGCCCTGTTTTTATTATTCATTTTCTAATTTTTTTTTCCTCTCCCTTCATCTCTGACTGGTTGAAAAGCTGTCCATCCCCAACAGTGTAAATGGAACTTACAATCTGGGCCTTTTTCTCTAAGGAAACAGTGCTGGGGGATCTGGTGCCCCCCTGAGGTACACACTGGGAAGTGCAACTACTGTCCGAGATGCAGATTGTTTACCTTTTAGCCAGAAGCATAAAGTGCCAATGCCACTTCCCTATTTGACCACTGCTAAATTATCTACTTCAGCATTTCTTAAATTACATTAATCACATTAAAGAACTCAAAAAAGAAATGCTTAAAAGACTGCTAATAAAAAAGCAGGAAAAGCAAACCCAAGAACATTGGTAAGAATTATTCAAACACAGAAAACTGACACAACCCAGGATGTGGAAACAATTCTTCAATGTAATCTTTTATTTAAGGAGAATTATGTTTGGAATTTTGTGTAAAGGAAATTTCTTTTTCTTTTTGAAGTGACTATGACTGCGCTCTGGAGAATGAGGACAAGAAAGCATCCTATCTCATATTAGATTGAGGGGGACATGGAGGTACCTGCATGTTTTTTGTTTTATTCTTAAGGTCTTATTAGACAAAGAAATAATTTTTCTCCCCAGTTTTATTGAGCCATACTTGACATGATAAAGAATGAATTTTAATTGAGCTATTAAGATGTTCGAGTAGGAGAGAATACTAAGAGTATTTTTTAAATTGAAAATCTGAATAAACAACAAAATCAACCCTGCCTCATTTGCCCCTCTCCACCTTCCTCTGCTCCCTGCTCTCTTGTGGGCAAGTCTGTCCTGTGAAGGTGAAGGAGCTGCTCCTCTCAGCCCAGCTTGAGGGGTAGCTGGCATGTAAGGTCTGCTAAAGAAGAGCCAAGGAGAGGGAGTAGAAGCCAGGGCACATCTCGGCCTTGGTGTGTAGGAGGGCAGCCAAGCACAGTGCCCCACTGCCACCCAGCCAGCACTTTTCATTCAGATGTGGGATATAAACAACAGGTTTTTGGGCTCCACAAACGGACTTGTAGCTGGAAAACATAAATAACATTCTTCTGGTTCTGGGCCAGCCTTGGGAAACCAAATAGTCAAGAAAGCTGCATAATTACCAAGTGGTGTTCACTGCTTTTGGTAATATCAGTTTAAGTAAGGTCTGAAGCTATGGATTATGGTCTTGCAGTGCCTGTTCCATCATGGGAAACATAAGACCATTTGCTTTCTAAGTTTAATACTGTGACTTATTTAGAAGTCACTGAAGTGGCAGGTGGCCTTGTATTTGGGAAGTGGGGAAGGGGGTGTTCAGCCAACAGAAGCCTAAGAGTTTAAGTCTCAGGCGTAAGTTTGTTTTTATTTTAGAAGTTATATAGATATGTGTATAAATATGCATTCACATGGAATTCAGGTGATATTAGATTAGTGCCTTATTATTCAGTCTTAACGGAAAATGTCAGGCCTCTTAGTACCTGAGACCAAAAAAACATTTGGGAAAATCATTTCCCTTCATGCAACCTGTACTACACTTTTTTTTTTTTTGCAACATCTTGGTAACTATAGAATTTCCAGGGCTAATTCCAGATAGTCCCAAGAGATGGAAACATAATTAACAATGCTCCATATAAAATACAAGTTACGTAGACCATCACACTGTAATTACACTCAAAATTCAACTCTTATGTAATAGGCATCAAGTTTCTTTTAGAGGAAAGCACAGCACTTCCATGCTATCTGAGTCTTCCAGATCTCTGATACTTCTGCACGGTCCTGTCACTGCACCAAGATACTGTACTGTGATAAATAAATCAGATGATGCAATTAGGAAGCAAGTGCTTCAGGTTACCCTTCTAATCGCTCAGTCACAGGCTTATTTCAGCCTGCTTGTTTTTTCTGGCACTGCAGGCCTGTGATGCCCAAGGAGAGCAACCCATGCCAATCAGGAACTTCCGGCTCTGTACTGTAATTACCTCCTTGAATCGAAAGACACAGAAAGGTCACATCCTGCCAATGCCACAATAAATTAAACCAAATAACACCCTCTGGAATCTCCCTTTAACCATAATGGAAGCTCTGAACTTCTACACACATGATCTTGATAAATGCTTCTGTACATCAACTGACTTCGAAGCTGTTGGACTAGGGAAGATTATTTCCAACTCTACACTGCAGACTGAAGGTTATACAATGCAAACGTTGAATGAGAGTGCCTGCTTTTTCTCTCCCTCATTCATAGCAATATCCCGTGCTTACTGAAGAGTTGCAGAGTTGCTCAGGCTTCATGGATACAGGTAGAAGAGACATGGAGAAGGTTCAGAGAAGAACCACAGGACCAGTGAAAAGTTACAGAATCAAACCAAATCAGCTCCATGGAGCTGTAATTTTTCTATAGAGAGAAGACAAAGAAATTTAATAAAGAACCGGAAAGCAAGGAGCTTAGCTCATTACTATATTTTGCCAATGAAAAAAGAACAGAGAAAATTAAATTATAGCACGTTCATTTAATATAGAAATACAGAAATTTCCCTGATAATAAAGGTAATGCTTGGAATGCTATGCCAGGGACTTCTTAAAGCCTTTGTTTATTTAAAAGTTTATTGTAATTATTTTTTAAATTTTTAAAAAAATATTTTATTTATTTTCTTTTATAGAGTGGGGAAGGAACGGAGAGAAATATCAACATGTGGTTGCCTCTTGCACGCACCCCCTTAGTGGGGACCTGGCCTGCAACCCAGGCACGTGCCCCCAACTAGGAATCGAACTGGCGACCCTTTGATTTGCAGGGCAGCATTTAATCCACTGAGACACATTCTTATTTCTGACCTTAATATGCAACTCTTTTGAATGGTGAGATCAAGCAGTAATTTTTCTTAAAAACAAACAAACAAACAAACAAACCTTTCTTTGGGCTCTCTCAGCCTTTATACCTGTCTGCCTTCCTTCTTTCTTTTTTCTCCCCTATCAAACAGTATAAATTTTCAAATCAGTTGGGTTCAATTTGTGCCACTTAACTTACAGGTGAAAGCAGCATGGCCACTGATGACTGTATCACAAGCCAGTCACTTGGGAGGACCCAGATATGAAGGCAGAGAAGAGCCAAGGACATAAGGGAAAAGGCAAGCGTGGCCTTGGACTGTCACACGTACACTGCTGGGGAAGGGACTGGGATCAACCCTGAGACTCAGGGAGAGGAAGAAGGCAACTGTTTCGATTATGATTCCTTTACGCAGCCCCCAACTTGAAAGAGAAAGGGAAAACAGGAAGTTACAACCAAATTAAACAAATAGAAGCTATCTGGGAGATGGGGGTTGTGTAAATTCAGCAAACTTCAGAACACTCCATGGGCTTCACACCTCCCAAATCTCAGCTTCGTGGGAAGGATGAACATGCTTTCCCGCCCAGTTTCCTGGCCACCAACTTAAGATCTGACTGTTCACCATCTCTCTCTAAACTAATTTTAACCATCTGTGCAAAAGGAGGAAATCTCTGTGCTGTATCTCCCCCAGGTTACCAAGTTAATGAGAAAGCATGTGAGAGCCACTGAAGTTCCTGTAAGACAGATGCCCTGGGAGCATGGCACTTTCTTGTAGTTTTTGAATTATTGCTTCAGGGAGCACTGGTTTTTATTCTTGTTCTTACAAAAATGCACATAAATTCCAGAGCTGCCTCCCACAGAGGGAAAACACCCAGACTGGCCAGGTTCTGAGAACTGCCTGGGGAGCCTGCTCCATAAGCTCCTGACTTACCAGGCCTAAGAAGTCCTGAGAAGAAGGGAGATAGGCAGCCAGTGTACAGAGCTAGGTTTCAAGGCAGGCAGGCTTACACCAAAAGAAAGCTTAACAAAATTCTTAGTTGTTTTAGCCATTTTTTTGAGGTTCTGTTTTGTTTCTCTTGAGTATTTTATTTTTCCTCTAGTGAAGAGCCAAAAGTTTATTTTAGAATGTTTTCTTTGTTAATTGATTCTTCCTGTGGTTCTTAAAATTTTCATTTTTCTAAAACTTACTTTTCATGTGGAAATAAGAAATACTGTTTTTAAAAAAGTTTATTAACCAAATATTAGTTCTTATGAATATACCACATAAGGTGCAACAATCAAGTAAATCTTGAGTCTCTCCTCATTTTTGACATATGCTGTAAATATGCAGAAAAGCCCCCTACATTAGGTATTTTTATTTTTTACAAGATTTTATTTATTTATTTTTAGGGAGAGGAGAAGGGAGGGAAAAAGAGAGGGAGAGAAACATCAATGTGTGGTTGTCTCTCATGTGCCCCCACTGGGGACCTGGCCTGCAACCCAGGCATGTGCCCAGACTGGGAATTGAACCGGCAACCCTTTGGTTCTCAGGCCAGCGATCAATCCACTGATCCACACCTGGCAGTGCACTGTTAGGTATTTTTAAAGTAAAATGTAAATACATCAGTACTTGAAAGGTCTCAATAGCTCTTTTGTTTACATTTTTTTCCTTTGCTCAGACCAAATGAAATGATACCCAACACCTTTAAGGACTTTTCTCCTCATACCAGCACATACCAGCAATGAATCTTTCATAAAGCATTCGATCCTTCTCAGAAAATTTCTCTCACTGAAGATTAGCTTTTCAAAAAGATGCAGCATTGCTTTTTCAAGGCTGGGAAGGTGTCGTAGCCAGAGGCAGACTATAGCTGACTTGGGGAGAGAAATCTTCTTCCTTTCAGTAGAAATAAAATTTTAAAAAGAAATGGGTTACAGAAAATAGAAGACTAAGAGAGTTGAAAATGCAAAAATAAAACCAATTTGTAAATCTCTTCCTCATGGTCACAGCAGTAGTTAATGTTTGTAATATCAAAGAATACTGACCAACTATCTATTTGCAAAATAATGTGAATATGCTTCCACTTCAACTAAAAAAATTAGAGTAATGCTCAAAGAAAAAAATGCTTTCAAAACAATAAACAAATATATAGTGATGGAAAACAGAGTGGTAAAAGATGAGATGGAAAAAGGTCTTGAAATACCTAGGCACATGCAGTCCTAATTTAAGAAACGGTTATGCTTGGAAGTGCATTATGATGGTGTGTGGAATCGAACCTGGGTTTGAGTCCAAGATCTACCACCTACTAACTCTATGACCTTGGGAAAGTTACTTAACTGTTAAACCTCAATTTACTCATCTTTAAAGTGGGCCCATTTCCCTCACAGTGTTGTCAGAATAATCATATGCAGTAATAACACATGTAAAGTGATTAGCACAGTGCTTGATGCTCAGTATTTCAATAGTAAATATCCAATATTTAATAACATATTTGTAAATCTGTTGCTTGAAAGTTAAAAAATACTTTTCTTTAGTCTTGGCTGGGTAGATCAATTGGTTGAAGTGTCGTCCTATGTACCAAAAGGTTGTGGGTTCCATCCTGGGTTGGGGCATATACAGGGGTGAGGGGCACAGCAACCAATCGATGTTTCCCACTCACATCAATATTTTTTTTCTCTCTTCCTTCCTCTCTCTCTAAAAAAAAATCAATAAAATCCTTGGGTGAGGATTTAAAAAAATTTTCTTTACTAACAATTTCACAGTTGGTGGTTATAGTCTGTTTTAATCCCTGGTTGATCCACAACATGAGACTGTATAGACTGCAACCATTTTATGTAGCTCATTTTCTATAGGAAAAGATATCTGGAGGTTCCTCCTGTGTGTATCAGGGGTCCTACTTCCCCTCTGGGAAGGAGCATGAGGGGGACCTCTGTCTAATGCTGAGCCACTGGGCCTAATCTGGCCTGGTGGGACTTATCTGTCTTCTTTCAGCCCAGGTGTTCTGAAGCTTGCGGCATCATAGGCAGCAGGGTGCTTTCTATGTTCTGCAAGAAAATGTTTACTGCTTTTAATAAGGAAAACAAAAGCTGGGGCATGAAGGTTCCCCATTACACAACAACTCCTTCAGTATCTATCTTTCCCTTCACCATCACTTCTGGGCCATTCCTCTGCAGGAGCTAGCTAGAAGCCCAGGGAATGGGCACAGGGCAGGAAGTGAATAGACAGGAGACACAGGGTAGCAGTTTCTAGTGGCTTCTTTTTTTCTTCTCCCTCGGCATAACTCCTGCAGACCTTGTCCTGGATTAACTCTGAAGAAAGACTAGAAGAAGCTGAAGTTTTGTAGGGTCTGTCACAAAAGTTAGCAGAAAGGCAGGAGAAAGGGAGAGAGTGAGAGATGTCCCTCCTCTGATCCTCTTTCTGATCTCACATTCTCACCTTGAGCTTCAACTCTTCTGGGAAGTCTTACAGGACCCCCTTCTCCTACCTGCACACACCTGGCAAAGAAGAGTTGCCACCATGCCCCAACCCTATATCACCTGGCATATTTTGGGGCCACACTATGGATATCCTCTATTGCATCATCTATGGGCTGCCTTTCCCAAGCCACCTCCCCTATTATACTGGATGGCAAGGAGCTGGTGGTCATTCAATCAAAGATGACTAAGCACTTCCTGTGTGGAACTAAATGTGCCAGGTGCAGACCAAACAATCGAAAACAAAACAATCTGTACCATTAGCAGTTCAGGGCCCAGTGAGAGGTGTGCATATGTACATACACATACCAAATTGTGATAAAGGCAATGAAGGAAAAGGATAGGCTGAGGTAAAAGAGAGTAATGGGGACGGGGGAGGAGGGAACTAATTTAGATCAGGTGGTTGGGGATTAGCTAGGTGAAAAGAAGTGGGAAGAGATTTTTAACAGAGGGAACAGGAGTTGTGATAGCCCTGAGTCAAGGAAGAGCAAGGGCAAAAGAGAAAGGTGACCCAAGGAGGAAAGGTGAGGTGACCTGAGATATAGCTCGGCAGTACCACAGGCCATGATAAGATTTTAGGATTTTATTCTCTGGTTATTCTGGCCCAATGATTTTAAACAAAGTTCCAGGATGCAGAGAAGTGCCAGGATGCAGTTTACATTTCAAAGATCACTCTGGGGGAACTCCCAGTCAAGATGGAGGTGTAGGTAAACATACCTCGCCTCCTCACACAACCACATCAAAATAACATCTAAACGAAGAACAACCATCATTCAGAACTGTCAGATCGACCTGAATGGAAGTTGGACAACTATGTAATCAAAGAAACCACATCCATCCAAACGTAGAGGTAGAGGGGCAGAGATCAAAAAACGCTGCCACATGCAAGTGTGATGGATAAAAATTTGGGAGGGATACGTCAGGAGTGAGAAGTTAAAGTCCCAGCCCCACACCAGGCCAGCAAGCCCAGAGTTCCAATGCCAGGAAGGTAAGTCCCCATAACTGCTGTTACAGGGTGCAGCCAAGAGGGGTGACCCCAAATAGGCATTTGAAATGGGGTCCAGAACTCAAGGTGTCCAGGAGATTTTAAGATGTCTCCACCCCTTCCCCCACAGGTGTCAGTTGGGGGAAAGGGCACACAGAGCAAGAACATGCAGGACAGCTTTGCAGTTAATCCATGGCAAGGTCATTTGACATACCTATAGCCTTTAGCTGGTCACTTAGATATGCTAAATAGCTATGGCCATGCTCAAGGCCAGGGGGATGGAAAGGGACCTCCCCTCCAAGATGGGACTGGGAGGCAGGTCCCCCGAGTTACAGTGCCTGTGTGGGAGCTTGGAGAAGATTGGCTCCATGACATGGGGTCACACCTGCCCAGACCCATGATGGCAACCAGAAAAGCTGGAGAAGACAGCAGATTGAGGGCAAGTGTGGCCAAGTGTGGGAGGAGTCGGAAATGGGGCTGCAGAAGAAGATTGGCTCGGGGATTTAAACCCAGACACGGCAGCCATTGAGGAGAGAACCATGCGGCTTTAGCAGATTGGGGACTCCCGTGGCCCTGGGAGAGAGGACCACATGCCTTTGCCAGAGTAGGGACCCCTGCAGCTTTAGAAGGGGGAACCACCACCTGGTTTTAGTAGAGATCCCGGTGACACAGCTGATGGTGCCAGGAACCCAGGGAGGTCTCCCAGTCAAGACGGAGTACTAGATAGGAATAACCAGAGGACTGCCTGAGCCATGGACTTCTATTTTCTTTCCTGAGATACGGTACTCTGGACTGGGCAAAGGGGGAAGGAAGGAAGGACTGTGTCTGTTTGTGGGTGTTTTTTTTTAAAAAAAGATTTTATTTACTTATTTTTAGAGAGGGAAGGGAGGGAGACAGAGAGAGAGAGAGAGAGAGAAACATCAATGTGTGGTTGCTGGGGGTTATGGCCTGCGACCCAGGCATGTGCCCTGGCTGGGAATCGAACCTGGGACACTTTGGTTCCCAGCACGCGCTCAATCCACTGAGCTACGCCAGCCAGGGCTGTTTGTGGGTGTTTTAAAGGGACTTTAGGATTTTTGATGAAGACATTAGGTCACTACTTTAAGTCTGTATAGCATTAAATAAACATTTCCTTTCCTTTTCACGAATCTCTGGCATTGAGAGATGTCTTTCCTCTGGCGGTGGACATAACAAACCTGGGGGCTTCTTTCAGTAATAGTATATCGTCCCAGCCCCCCCACCCCCCCCGCCTTGTTTGTTCTGTAACACTGCTAGCTGCAAAGCCAGCAGGGATTGAGTTGATGGAGAAACTTCTGGAGTCCCAAGCAGTTCCTTTTAAAGAACCCACACACTAACTTAATCACACTCACTCCCTCTGAGATCCATCAACAGGGCAGCAGCTTGATAGGCACCAGTGGCATACAAGGAGAAATGGAAGTGCCTGGCTTTCAGGGTGAGAACTGGGGGACAGATTTCTCCCAAACAGAAAGGTAGGCAGAGGCCATTGTTCCTCTTCTGAGCCCTCCCTGCACAGTGCCACAGAGCTGGCAGGCAGGTGCCATATCTGAGACTTTATCTACCTGGCTAACACTGTTTGCCTTGCCCTGGCCCTGGAGATCCCCTGAGGCTCCATCCCACCCAACTTATGGGCCCATCCAAGCTATTAAAAATGGGTTTTCTATACAAATGGTTGGTATTGACTCATTCTTCAGATCTTCCTAAATCCTCTCAAATAAGCAACACCAGCCCCAGTAAGCCCTCAACCCTGTACCTCTTGCTCAATGGCCCGAGGCTCAGCACTAGCAGCCAGCCAACCTAGGTTCACAGCTTGGCTTCACCTGGGAAACTCCAAGCCTAAGCACAAGGAGCAGCCATCTGGAGATTTCTTTATAGCTCATGTAGGGTGGCCCCAGGCAGAACACAGGAGGGTACAGAACTTGGCCTGCAACACCCAGGAAACTCCAGAGCCTGCCTACACTGTAAACAGCTAAAGACTACGCTGGGGTACTACCATCCTGCCCCTGCATAGCTGATCCTCCATGAAGAGTGGAGGCTGGTGGGCAGTGGTCACAACCAGTCCCTGAAGCTGGATAAGTGTCACCCACTGACCTGCTAACAGCAATCAAGGCATACATACAAGAGGAGGGTGTACTCAGTCCACAAGAATGGCACACCTTTAGAACCCAGATTCAGTGACAGGGGAGACTGTGCCTTTGAACCCTACAGGGCACTTACTACATTAGGGCATGCCACCAAGACACGGAATCATAGCAGCTCTACCTAATACATAGAAACAAACACAGGGAGGCTGTCAAAAAGAGGAGACAAAGAAACGGCCCATAGGAAAGAACAGAACAAAACTCCAGAAAAAGAACTAAACAAAATGGAGATAAGCCATCTATCAGATGCACAGTTCAAAACAATAGTTAGAAGGATGC